TAGTGCTGGCTGGCACTTGAGCTCACGCTCACAGACAGGGCTCTTAAAAATATTAAAAACCAAAATAAACCAACAAGCCACCGAGCAAGTCTGCTTCGGGTAAAGTGACCGCATCAAAGCGTACCATGGTGCGTATGAGCGATATCGTGCTGGAGGAGTGAGCGCAGCACTTCACCAAATGCGAAATATAGTTCCTGTTTTTTCTCGCACCCGCTAGCCACTTGCTTGGTTGTTAGTTTTTTGGTTTGGTTTTGGCTCCAGGAACCAGGATTCCGGATCCAGGATCCAGGATCTGCTGCATACGGCAGCAGTAGACACGTATGGAGCGGCCTGCATACATACATACATCTGCCATAAAGTAATTCAGTGTTGTTCCAATAAAGTGCTTCATAAATATTTATTGGATTATCGAACGTATCGGTCATGCACACACACAGCCACAGACACAGTCATATATTGAGCTCTTGTCTGGAGAACCGAACGCACATTGCTCCATTGCCATAATGAATATGAAGCCATGAACATTGCAATAAGCGCACGTATGAATAAATGAGAGCACAGCGGAGCAGAGCAGGAAAAGGAAAAGGAATGAGAAAAAGGCAGCAGGAAGCACATGGACATGGACGGAGAAAGGACCACGAAGAGAGAAAGGACCCGGAGAACTTTTACCCATCTGAATGGGGGCCGAATGAATGCTTATGGCAAATAAACTAATAGTTCAAGTGCTTTCCAATTCCGGGCTCTGTAATTTAATATACCAATTCCTCATCCTCAGCGGACAGCGATTGTGAGCGGAACCCCATTTGATGGATATATAAATACCATAAATATATTCATCGACGTTTAATTAACTAACACGACCGGTCCGCTAATTGCATAATCAATTAACACATTTGATACTTTAATTATAATCGACCGAACTACGCGGCATCGCCGCACCAGAGGCAGTAACTTTACCTGTAATTAAAAGGGGATTAAATCCATAATCTCTGATATTAAAGCCTCGTTAAAGTCAGACAAGGCCGATGGACGGATGGGTCGTTATGGAATTTAAGGTGACTCTGCTCCGCTCGTCTGAAATCGGTATTTATTATTTATTCTGACATTTACATCAACAATCCGGAATCAGGCGAGCAAACACAGAACACACACGGTGCCAAGTCGAAGGAAAAACTGAATGAGAAAACCACCTCGGGCCCTGCAGGTATTTAGGGTGCTTGCATATTTTATGGCCTGTCATTGTTTATATTGTTCAAATCTCTCTCTTTTTCGTACATTCGAGTGTGTGTGTCAGCCTGGGAATTTCTTATTGCGACTTCATTTACACATTTAACAAAAAAAAAAACATTGAGGCTTGTAATACAATGGGGCGACTGCCACCGCTGCACCCAGAGTCAACTGGAAGAGCCGTTGAAAGTGGCTGGGATCGGACGGGTAGCCTTCAACTTCGAGTATCGTAATGTATTCATAGGAAATGACAACTGACAAGCGAGAGAGCGAGAGCCAGACAAATGGAAAATCTGACTTGCCGTATTTTTAGCCTCTCGCCTGCCAGACTGACACACACTCAGCCGAAGGACTCAAAACTCGGGACAGAGGGGCGGCCAGCACTAATCACACATAAATCAAAAAATGACATAAAGTGTACCAAACAGCAGCTGGCTTGGTGATCCTGCCTGTCAGGCATCTGGCATATGGCAAACTGCCGACATATAACAACACGGCATCCATTCGAATCGTATTGAACTGAAAGTCAAACTGAAAATCAAGCTGAAAATAGCAGAGGGCGGACGCAGGAAAGTAGGCAACTATTGGCAATCGAGGATTGCATGTGGGCGCAAAAAGCCGATTGCTATGGCGGAGCACATATGGCTAAATCTCAGGGCGGACTTGGAGGCGGCATTCTGCAGCTCATGTTATATTAATTACAAATTACAGGCAAAGTACATTAAACATGCATTGTCAACTCCCCCCGGGCAAACACGATCCCCCGCCCTCGATAGTAACATACATACATATGTGTATTCCCAGCTCCATTGTAAGCGATGCAGGGAGCGATAAAAAAAACGGGGCAGAAAATACAGCCTGCCAGCATATCGAGGGCCTAACACAATGCCATTGTAATATCGATTACAAAGCCCTCGAAAGCACCGCCCAAACTACATATTAGCCCGCGCCGGCAACACTGCGTATACGTATTAATACGTCCTGTGTGAGTGGGTGTGCGGGTCCGACCTCGCATAATTGCTGTCATGAAACTCGTTATAATACACCTCATGCAAGGCTCAGTGGCATGGGATGCCTGGCATTTTGTCGGCTTATGAATTCACTTCATTTCCCTTCATTTCACCCGATTTTGACTCTTACCGCCCGCACAAAAACCCATTGATTGATTCCCTTTGGCTGGGACGGTGAGTAATTGTTGTTGATTTAATAATTTATTATGGTGGCAATTATTTAAACTGGCCATCGGTGACAAATACAACGCGAGTCGTGACATCAGTTCGCCTCAAATAGAAAACGTAAACATTTCAATCGAGGACCACAGTCAATGCTAAATCCCTTTCCTGCCACCCACATATTTGCATAAGCAAATCTGATGCTACACATGCGAGCCAAACATGGGTAAAAAAGTCAAATACAAAATAGAAAGAAGAGAGTTGAAAGTGGAAACCGGAACTGTGGAGGGCATAAGCCAACACCACCGTGTATGTCAAAGCGAATGAGTTGAAAAGCTGCATTAAACAACACTTAGATGTGGCCAAAAGGCAGGAAGGTGCCAGTGGGTGCAACCCTGGAAATGATTCATGATTCGGGTGCGGACAGCGGAGGAGCACTCAAAGTGAAAGGAGCCGGCGACGAACAAAGGCGAGGGCGGCGGATCGCATCGCTGAGCCGCCGCAAAGGGTGGCGGAGTGTTGCAGCAAAACAAATATTGTTAAAGTTGTTGCAAAAGCAGCTGCTGCTTGCCAGCAGTTACACACAAGAAAATTTACTTGAAATAGAAAATTCACTGACCAATCCATTAAAAAAAACCCATTAAAACATTCATAACTTTAATAAATTTTAGAGCAAGCTAACAAATTTTCAGTTATAATTAGGTTTTTTAATCATTTTCCATAAATGTTTAGTTTACAGAACATCTAAACAATTCTTTATTTATTTCTATAAAAAAGGAACAATACTTGAATAAATATTTTCTTTGGTAACAACAACTTGGAAATTGTTACTTAGAATGGTAATATACATATTTAACTGATCTGATCGTACAACAGAATTAACTATAAAAATTCAATTTGAAGAAAAATCAAATATTCCATAACACTCTATAAGAATTAAAACGATATTCATCTTTCTCTCCGTGTATCTTTAAAGAAAAATTGCACACAGGTTACAAGCAAAACAAAGCACACAAAAGGCAGGTGGAAAAATAAACGCATATAAAACTGCCGGTAAAACTGCATAAAATGTCAAGGTAAAACTAACAAACTGGCTTAGGAGCGATTTAACGGAAACGGAAATGCCAGCGAACGTTTAAAGAAACGCCACCAACTTCGGACAGCTGCATTTAAAAGCCAAGAAGAGAACTTTTGCGTCTTCTTCTTGTTTTGGCCCGATAAGCAATGCAAAAGGAAAGCGGGCTAAACAAAAAATAAATAAATACATAAAACACGAGAGAGAGAAATGAAACACAAAACAGAGCCCGTGAATGGGCCGCGTAATTAGAGTGTAAACGGGCGACAGGCGCAAAGTTCAAATCGCTGCTCAAAAGTAATTAAAAAGTTGCAAATAAAACGCAAAGAATAAGGCCAAATTACGCGATTGCAAGGGAACTTTCGGACCTTCGGTCGCTTAAACTCTTTAAGGGACGCGTTGAATTCTGTTTTCTAGAACGAATGCGAACGAACGAAGGCGGGTGGCCACGAACAATTGCAGCAATTTGAACTCCAACTCATTGAACAGCACTTGGAAACTACGCCAACAATTTTACGCTTGGGCCTAACCAGAAATTCCTCACCAGGACTAACTGCCACACACTTCCCTTCAGTTGAATGCATTGCAACTATTTTAGGGCACTCATTTTTCAGTTGAGCGCTCGAGTTGCCCAAGGGGGAGCTGTGGAGTCTTCCATACGTATTTAGCTGTAGTTTATGCCCCTTCAGACCAGGATACACGAGAGGATAGCATAGGCCTGGATGGGCAGACGACATCAAGGCAGGTGCAAGGATCGCAACATTTTCGGGGGCCTATGCCTTTCGCCTGTGTGCCAGGTAATCACGTCATTATCACGTGAAATTTCGGCATTAACGTGAATTTACGATTTGCACATGAGCACGAGCCAAGAAAGGCAAAAGAGAAAAAAAAACGAAATAACTACCAAATATACAGGCACCGCACCGAGCGCCAAGCCAAGGCAGCGACGCACATAAACTCACATTAAATGCGATTGCCAATTTATTTACTAAGTGAACGTCGCAGGTTGGAACCAGCTAACAGGAACCAGGACTAAAACCAACGGCAAAGGCACAGCTGGCAGCCCGGCAAGTTGGCTCAAATTTTAGAGCGGAAATAGTGCGGCAGGCGATGGGGCATGGGGTTGTAATTGAACCAGCCACCCGAAAGTTGTTGTAGCGAATAAAGCTGAGCCAAAAACTTCACTCACACACATTCAGTACAGTACTCTGGCTACCCGGCTCAGTTGGCAACTTTTTTGCATACAATTAACGAAAGTGGCGCACCTAGGTAAATAACATGAAATATTTGCTTATTCGTTCGGGGTTATTAAGGGGGTTAAGGATCGAGGACTGAGGCTGAGGCTGAGGCGGATGCGAGTGCTGCTCAACCGCATTAACCCATTACCAGCATAAGCAGTGAGCAGTAAGCCATGAGGCACTGCCAGCTGCCTCACCGACTCGGAGTTTTCCATTTTCCATTTGCTTTCCCCTTTTTTCGCCGAGCCATACAATTTTCCAACACATTTGCCAAATTAAATTATATACCATATAGTATAGTGTAGAGTGTAGTGTATGCAGTGGCACAAATCTCGGACGAAGAAAGCACACTCGACTGAATTTCTGTTGATTTGCTGACACTTTATGATTTACAGCCTGCCTGCTTGACTCGAGGTTTCACTGCTGGGCCGCGTTTCTTCGAATTGCGATTTGCCTTTGCGATGGCGATTTCCTACCAATAACTAAGACGATCCTCGCGGCACGCACATTGGCCTCTTCGTCGGCACTCGTATTTTTCTTCTTCCGCTCGAATCGCATCGAACTGGAGCCCCCAAAAAGCGGTCCGATTGAATCGCTGGCTTCAGAGTCGCGTTGCCCGCTTGCCATTGGCCGCGCGTCCGTTCGTCACGAGTCTCAGTCGCAAACTGTTTGGCCCGCTGAAGACCCCAGTCCTCGGGTCCTTTCAGGCCACGAAGCTGGCCCAAAAGGACTCGGCCACGAGCCACATTCGTTTTAGTCTTCGGCTTACCTCGTTCGTTTGGCCGAAAAGGCACACAGAGAGTGAGAGAGAGAGCATTGATGTGTTTTGTGGAGAATTATTTGGCGCCAATTTTGGCATCCTTGTAGAGTGCGACTCTCAAACTGTAAAGGATGAGGATTCGCTTGGCATTTACCAGGAATTTGGTTGTAAAACTCTTCTACGAAGCATTTGTTAACTTCTAAAAATTCGAAAGGATTTTTTATTCATAGTTTTGAGCTTGGCATATATTTGTTTGTCTGCCTTAGTGAGAACTATTTCTTTTAAGGCGAAAAATGCAGACATTCACTAAAAAATTGCTGTGAAAAATCCCTTAAGCATCCGTATATATATCTAAAAATAGGGTTAGAACTAACTAAACTGAATTTTTATATACTTTCATTCAAATATATAGCTTATATATTCCTCGAAGGCAACATTTCACTTAAAGATCAACTCTAAACTAAGATTTGAACACTAATAAGACATCTTTTAAGCTTATAAAAATCTAATCAAATTCTCCTTTTAAACTACAAGTTATTCAATATCTAAATCTCATGTAAATTCTTAATGACTTAATCAATTGCAAATTGCATTCGTGTATGTGTCCGAGAAGTAGGAGTAATTGCAGCATCTATGATGGCACACACACACACTCTCAAAGGAACACACACAGGTGGCCAAGTGGAGAGATTTCAGGACAGCTGAGAGAGAGAGAAAGAGAAAGAGAGCGAGGGGATAAAAGAGATAGTTGGAGTTTCAGGTGGCCGTGCAATTATCGGTTTTTGTTTTGGTAACACTTTCGCCGAGCAAAGCTCTCCGTGTGTTGGCCTAGGACCCAGCAAGCGGGCCAAAAGCGGAAAGCTTACGACTTGACACACAAACGGATGGCAAAGGGATACGACGTCGCTGAGGACGACGACAGGCGATGGCCGATGGACGACGGACGACGACGCGTGGAAGTGTCCAATAAAAATTACGTATACGCAGCGAGTGCCCAAGGCAAGCGGCTTTGGGCCACGAAGCGTGCGGTAATTGGCAAAAACAAGAACACAGAAAAGAAAATATGGATACCAGCGACACCTCACAAAAGGCACAGAAAGAAAATAAGTTGTAGTTTACTAAATAGAATGGGAAAATTTTCTTTAACTAAATATAAACCTTAACTAGAAAATTATTCACAGACCAAATAATTGATAATACTATAGAAATAGTAATTATTGCCTGAAAATTAACTATTTTCTTTAAAGAATCTCACTTTTACTTGAAAACTAGGTAACATTTCTTATTTCAAACCCCCAAACTAAAGACTTTGCCTTACTTAAGCTGAGTAATTGTAGCAAATTTAAATATTTCTTGGCTTTGTGTGTAAATAACAGTTAGCCACGAAACAATGGTCCGAAATTGCCAATTGGCTGCGCCTCAAGAAATTGGGAACGTTGTCGGCCCTGGCGGGATGTCAACATGTCGCCGGGGCCATAAATCTATAAAAGGCACTCGCTGCCGCCGGACGCCAAGGAACGCTCCACTGGATTGGGTGGGTTACCGCCTCGGCATAGTTGCACGAACCGAAACGGCAGCTTTTGGATTTCTTTGGAGAGCGGCACGTTGTAATTATCGCGCAAAATCAAAGCGATGCCCCAATGTCTTGCCAAAACAATGAGTCCTGGCCGGTGGCATGGCAACGTGGCAAGGCTCCTTCGCTTGTGGCTCCTCGATTTGCGGGGCTCCTTTCTTTTGTGCGGTCGGACTTTTTGCGGACTTTTATGTTTGCCCGACGTCGAGCTAAGCTGATTATTTCATTTCCATTGTGCTCGCCCCCCGGGCATAACTTAATTTTTATGGCACTTATGATATTTTAATCTAATGAAAATATAATTACATTGCCATTGCTAATTTATACTTACTGCGAACCGACAAGGGGAAATGCTTGAAGGCGACTGGTAGGGGGATGGTAGTGTAGAACTTACCTGCAAAGTAAATAAAGTGAAAAGGGAATGTTATTTATGCGGTGAGCGAAGGAAAAACTGCTGCTGGCGGGAACAGATCCTGGCTTTCCCTACCCCGGAACATCAAAGCCACCGAAATAAATAAACTTGAATCGATTGCCAGCAGAAATAAAGCAAATTTACTTCCTCGAAATATACAAAAGTAAAAATCCGCAAAGCACAGAGACAATCGGTGGTAAAGGTGGGACACACACACACACACGCCTCCCCCGCTTACAGTTGCAAATTGACTTGCTTTTGAAGTACAAAGCAAAAAATTCGGTGTTGCCACCTGCAGCCCGTTGGCTAAACAACAACCACAGTAGTGAAAGCAGAAGGAGCAGCAGCAAAAACATACAGGTTTGGAATTGAATTCGCAGCGGAGGATACACCACAGGCCAGCGGCTGAGCAGGTCCTGGCGCTACGCTCGTGTCGCGACCAAAGGCAGAAGGACAGAGACGTGAGAATTGCTTATTTTGTGAAAATTAGAAAATATCACAAAACGCACAAAAAACACTTACAGTACATCTTGTCGAAAACACTGGGGGAAAAGAATGACTGGGCTTTTTATAATACTGGGTAAAATACTCTAAAAGTATGGCACGTTTTGAAATTTTCGAAGCAGAAGTGAGAATTTATATTGGTGCTAAGCATTATTTTCAGAAAGAATAAGTAGAAATAGTTATAGTATATAGTTTCGTAAGAATCCATTCTTCAATATTTATGTGGTTTGAGTTATTCCTTTCCTTATTCCTTAACAACTTTTTGTCAGAGTGCAAGAAACCCGTGGCAAACACGCAGTTTGTGTCTTGAAGCACAAGCAGAAATCTCAACTCGCCGTGTGACAGTTGCGAGCTACTTCAGTGGCTCCTTGGCTGCATCTCCATCTCCATCTGTAGATGCAGATTCAGTTCGGGCTGTGTGTCAACATCAGCGTGGTTTGTTGCCCTGCAGTCCATGCATAATTAGTAGCCATGCTGGCATCTAGCTCCTGCTCCTCCCTCAGCTAGTCAGGCACTTGAAACCGCAACACGGAAGCAGAGACGACGACAGGACTCTTAGAGCTCTCTCACATTCGCATCCATGTCGGCCAGGACAATTGCCGCTGTCACTCAGTCAGTTGATTGGAGTGAAAGTTAAAGTTGAGCTTGGCAAAGTAATTGTCGCCTTATTCAGGTTGTTGTTTTTTAACCAAGGGAACCTTCTGGCTCAACCCTTTTGCCATTGAGAAATTGTTAATGTTTTCGGGACGAGCTCCGTGAAACGGATATACAAAGCAAATTGTGTGCATTAGCCAGGACCAGAGAGCGATGCGGGTGAAATGTCCTTCCTTCCGAATTGAACGATTTTCAATAAAGGCCAGGCAGCCAGGCCGAAAGGTAACATTGGGCCATTCAGCCTGGCCAAAAACCATATACACACTGCCAAATGTGTGTGCCTTGGTTACGGTCAAAGGACACGTATAATAGATTGCCAGTTAGTTGCCTCAAAAAAGGGTCACACACACTAACAGGAGGTGGGGCGGTAAATAAGCCAGTAAGTTATCAGCTCTTGGACACCAAAGGTGTTTGCAGCCAAAGAGCCATTCAGAAATCCAGGGGAAAATTTAAATAGCCCATTGAAAATGAACTAGTAATAGTAGTTATCCCGAATCCCAGCTCTATTCAAGTGTTAACACGCGTTTTCAATTAGCCAAAATTGACGCTCTCTGAACTATACGTTGGCTTAAAGGACCTAATAGTAGCTGATTAATGGGAGCTTCAATAGCTTTATGCAGCTGTGGAAAATTGCTTACTTCACAGGACTTCTGTTCCCAAAAGCTGTCAGGATTAAAAGTTATAGTTGATTGCATAAATATATACAATGAAGTAAACCTATAAGCTTGGCTATAAGTTGGTTGAACTATATTTTAATCCCAGGATAATAACGGTAGAGCTGTATACCACTAAATCGAAATGTTCAGATACGTTAACTTAATGCTAATTTTAGATATTTTCCCCCTGAATTCAACTTTGTTTCCCTTTTTGCAACTCCTCTGGCAAGGAACCTTTGGATTCCCAGAGTCTGTCTCGCTGTCTAGTCCCATTGTCTTGGCAAGTGTGACGAAGTGCTGTCTGTGTTGTCTTTTTCTCTCTCTGTGTGTGTGTGTGTGTGCGTGCAGCAGGCTGGGTGTGTTTCAGTGTCCTGACTTCCGCCCATAACTCGACTCGACTTTTAGCCACCTCAAGAGCTGACTTGACGGACGTGGCTTATTGTTTCATTTTGCTGCCGCGTTGGCTTATGACTGAAACAGCATACAAAAGCAATTTATCAAGCCCTAATTGTGTGTGTGTGTGTGTGTGTGTGTACGGGTGTACGGGTGTACTTGTCATTGGTGTGTCAGGAGAACTTAGCTTTAGTTGGTTGTACTTTCAAGTTGTTCTCTTCCCCCACGCGACGAGTAAAAAACTCCAGCGGTGTTTCCCCCTTCTTTTTACCTTTTCAATTTGAATCCTATTTACTTGCGGCTGACAATTGATGAACTTGAAAGTGGAGCAAAGCAATGAAAAACCCAGGCGGGTCTCAACCACAAAAATGCTAAAAAAAAGAAGAAGAAAGTATATAAAATCCGGGGATTGACACTTTCCATATTCCAAAGTGAACTCTGCTCTGTTTTATTCCACATTTCGGGGCATATTTCATGCACGAGAATAAAAAGCTATTAGGGCTAAGGCGTGGAGCTGGAGGAGCTGTGGGAAAAACGAGAAAAGACAGCCGGCCAAACGACAGCTGTCTTCAACTGCAGCCCGAGTGCATAAATCTTGCGCTGAAATGTCAGTGCAGGACGAACGACAAAAAACGCGCCCAGCACTGTGATAAAATGGTACGGCGTGCAGCTTTTATAT